CCTTTTCGCCTTCAATATCCTCTTCAAAACACACCTGTTTACAGAGAAGAGATCATAATATTCAATAAAATATTTCATATTATATGTAACCTGATTTTGTATGTATAAGTATCTGAACGGCTATATTGTGCTGAATTTTTTAAAATACATGTTTTACAAGTATGTAATACATATTTTTTAGCATGCGATAAAATATCGCCAACACTATAAGCTTAATTATTTCTAATGTCCAGAACTGTGTAACGTAAATGCCATGCTTTAAGAAGTATGTTAACTTTTTATAATTTAATTACACTTGCACGCGCGGTTCAAAAAAAAATGTACAAGGAGTACATATACATGGACTTGAATATAACAAACTTATTAGCACATCTAATGATGAAAATGAAAATAATTGATAATACACTTTTACAGCTTCATTTCAATGATAAGTTATTCTTAAACTTTACTTCAAATGTCAGAAAAGCCAGCATAGCCAAACTACTGTTAATTGTCTCTGTTTTAATTACAATGTCAATCACAATAATTAACTTTTTTCTTTAGATCCCTTCATTTCTTATTTGTACATAGTTACATGAAATCCATGCACGGCGCTACACCTGTCAATCAAAATTGTAAACTTCTGGTGCCACGGAAGCATTTCCCCTGTGGTGTAAAATATTCTTTAGGTCAATTCTAATTTTACGCTTTTATAGATACAGTGTAATATTTCGAAACAACGTTTTAATTAAGGCTGAAGATGCATGCTGTGAATTTATCAAACCTCCAGTCCTAATTGACGATCCGTTCTTACATGTATATTATAATTAATCAAATAGTCCAGTATTTGTGACAAATTTTGATTGAGATTTCACTTTCCCTTTAGGATAAAACGATTCATTAAATAGATTATGCATATGAGATGGATAGCTGTACTATATATAAATGTATACTTTTCACTGTGTAACAAGAATCTGTCATTGACAATTAAAAGTGAAGAGTTTAGGTAAAAGACTTTGACAAATGACAAGTTATTCCTTCTTAGTCACTATATAGCTTAAAGCTATATGGTCGTGCCCACCCCACAATTATGTTTTTATTTTTATTTATTTATTTTTTATTTATTTTTTTTTTTTGCTTAGATATCAAAAAATTTGATTGTTTGTGCCCCGTCCCAGAAAAAAATGAAATTGCGTTCTACAGGCTTAAGTCAGAACATGATTTTCATAATGATAATACATTTATCAAAATGTTTCTACCCCTACGATTCGTAGTTGTGGTTTCGAATACCACCACGTCGCCCGCGTGGCGCAGTGGTTTGAGTGTTTGCTCTAGAGTCGCGGAGTAAGGAGTTAATCTTTACGTCGTGGGTTCGACTCCCTCTGTGGGACGTGGAGACCGGTCCTTTGCATGAGACCGTATAAACCGAGGTCCCGTGTAGCAGTAGATGCTGGGACGAAAGAGATCCCTCACTGCTCAATGGCCTTGAGTGTCGAGTATAGGTCTGAATTTGCAGCCCTCCACCGTCAAGTGGTGGCGTTTCCATATGAGTGAAAAATCTCGAGAGGGACGTTAAACAACACACAAACAAACAAACTATTCCACTACGGGACGTGGAGACTGGTCCTTCGGATGAGACCGTATAAACCGAGGTCCCGTGTAGCAGTAGGTGCTGGGATGAAAAAAATCCCTCACTGCTCAATGGCCTTGAGTGTCGAATTTACAGCCCTCCACTGGCAAGTGGTGGTTTTTCCATATGAGTGAAAAATCTCGACGGGGACGTTAACACACAAACAAACAAACAATTTCACTACAGAACGTGGAGTATGGTCCTTCGGATGAGGCCGTATAAACCGAGGCCCCGTTTAGCAGTAGGTGCCGGCATGAAAAAAATCCCTCACTGCTCAATGGCCTTGAGTGTCGAGTATAGGTCTGAATTTGCAGCCCTCCACTGGCAAATGCTGGCAGCTCAAAGCTTAGGGACGTTAAAAAACAAACAGACAATCAAACAAACATTTTTGTGTCGCCTGCAGAGCAGAGCAGCACTTAGCGATCAATTTACCTGGCGTCTGTCTTGCTGTCCGTCCGTCTGTCACACTTTATATCTGGAGAAATGTAAGAGGTATGGGTTTGATAATTTGCACATATGGCTTCCGACCTAGATATCCTTGAACTTGATCTTTGACCTACTTTTCAAAATAACCAATAATGCCGATATACAACTTCTTTTTGATATTTATGAGGTAAGTCTATGCTATTTAGAATGTGCACTGTTTGTCATAAAACATTTGAAAAATACCAGCGTTACAGTTCACTTGACCTTGACCTTTGACCTATTTTGTAAAATATACTGCGGAGGGTTAAATTTAACTTATGTCTTTTGAAATTACAGAGGCAGGGTTTAATAACAGTTATACATGTTTATGATCTCATGACAATGTATTTTGACACTGTATGAAATAAAGAAACCACAAAAACTGAAATTTAAGTACTATGAAAATACAACGGGATCGGTATTCCAAAATGGATGGTGTAGACTGACAATTGCTGATATGAAAGACTGAAGCCTCTTTCGAAGGATTGTTGAAATCACGTACTTGAATAATTTATATATAATTATTTATAATAAATTTATTCAAATTTCATTAATATCCATTTTAGCTTTCAGGGGTTAAGAATTTGCATTTCTATTTGATTGTTAGATTCTATCGCAGTCTTACTATCCCTGGATTGTTTTGTTTTGTTTTTTTGGCATGAACTATATTCAATGCCTTAGCAAATAAATAGCTGATAACTTTTAGACTTAGTTACATCTTTAATGAAGCTAAAAGCAGGCGACACATGCGTTCCTGGGAACGCTCTAGTTCTGTAAGAAATCAGCAAAGATAATTAAGCAGAGAATTTTGATGAATAAAATGGGTTTTTTTTAACCTTTTTTTTATATCGCTGACTATATATAGATGTATGGTCTGCGTTATAAAACATGATGTGATAGGGTAACGTAATGCACCTTGTACACGTACTCAAAGATGCCGACGTTCTTCAATATCGAAATTGGACATAAAACATATATACAATAAAATTTGAAGCCAGTGAGTTAAAAGTAATAAATTACAACTGTATGGAAACGAAATGAAAAAAACATGTGTAAACTTGTCAAGTTGGAAACACTCAGAATGGGTATTGTTGTATCATACAGACTGTGTCATGGCCTTGACTCAAGTTCAACGTCACTAAGAACAAGATGCTTTTACTGGATGTGTGGTCTGAAAGAACATGTGTTAACTTGTCAAGTCGGTAACACAGATAGGTTTGCGTCATAACCAGAGTGTGTCATGGCTTGACGCAAGGTCATCTGGGCAAGTTCAAGGTCACGAAATAGAAAGTGTACATTATTTTATTGTCTTTCTACTGGCGAAGCATTGCAAGTTGATAGTCCCTTAAAAGATTATTTATCATCTTAGAATATAGCATGACCTTGACTCAAGGTCACTGCTCCAACGGAAGACCTATTCGTTGCTCTGCAACGAGCTCGGCTCTAGTTGATACTAATCATTATTTTTTTGTTTATTATTATTTTGGTGCTTTTATTTTCTTTGTATGAGTGTTGAAGGTGTGCGTGTTGTGTGTGTTTGCAGGTATGCAGATGTTCTTTGCATTTTGTTTTTGAGCACTATAATAAACTTGTTTGCACGTACTCTTTGTCCTTTTTCAAAGATTTGGTTACAGCGAGGGAATATTTCCATGCCATTATCACAAATTGTGACAATATAAACAAATGTAAATCATAATGTAAATTTCAAGAAAAAATTAATTTAGGCCTTGTGTAAGACAATACATACATGAACTTTTGAAAAGGTCATGCCTAATAAAAATATTATCTGCTTATTTATTCAGCGCATATATATTTTGTAGACTCCAATCAGATAACCGCTAACATAGAATTTAGGTTTATCGCTCTTGCCCTGCTCATCTCTCTCTCTCTCTCTCTCTCTCTCTCTCTCTCTCTCTGTGTGTGTGTGTGTGTGTGTGTGTGTGTGTGTGTGTGTTAATTTTGAAAAAAAAAGACTAATTGACTGCCTAGGCCTACTCACCTGAGTCACAAATTTGGAAAGTAAATATCATTGTTCAAAAATAGTTCAGTGGAGTACACCGAATTACTACTGAACTATCACCGAGTTGTTATTGAAACCTGACCTAAAGGTAACTTTAAAAAGGAGGAAGACTCATACTAGCTATTAAAAGTCCTTTATATCCACCAATAATCCACTAGAGAAATATTGAGATTGATTAAAAGATGACTGAAATGTAGATAGAGTAATGACTGAAAGTATTACAATGTATAATGATCACTGTTTGAAATGGGACTGGGTGGTTCTTGAATAAATACGAAATGATTTGAAATACATGTACAGCATGAATGTGCTTTGCCATTTGAAGGTCCCTGGAAGAGCCCCAAAATAATCGAGTAATGTTCATCGATAAATGACTTTCAGTCCTCTTTTCTTAGGTGAAGGGAAAATTTAGTATTTAGTGGTTTATTTGAATATTCATTTAGTTTTCTTTATCAAGTGAGCCTTCAAATAACTCAAAACTTCAAATAACCAGCTTCATCTTATGTTTAAAACTGTTTAAAGATTCAAAAATAAAATTCTCCTTTTTATCATCTGCTAAAACACATCATAGGGCTTAAACTGTTCAAATTATCCATGTATAAAAACAATATGGATAGAATTCCTAATAATATAGATATTAGTCTTAACATTATCTTAGTTCCACATTGAACTATGATATATGTAAACCTTTTGTTGTTGACTATATGCAATCATGTTATCTTTAAAGAAGACGCAATAGATTGTTATGTAAAAAAAAAATATATTATTTCTTTGGTATGAAATCTTCCCAATCAAACTGGGTTGAAATTTCTTTATCACATATTAACCCAACAGTCTCTGGATTTCTGTTTACCATTCAACCAGTGTAGTATTGCCACCCACACATATGCCACAAACTCAACATTATCAATCAAAAATGTTAAAGTATTTGAACCTTGTAGAGGAAGGAGTAGTTCTGTTTCCTATAAAACTAGGGCTTTTTGGATAGCCAAATAGTTCAAAATCAGCTCTATAAAGTTCTAAATATTCCTTCATAATATCTTTAGGTATTTGACTAAACGCTTCTACTTTTGCTTCTATTCTCTGTTCTTTTAATTTTGTACGATTTTGTATAGATTGGATGATATCGGTAACTTTATCAACCACTTCTGATTTTGTGAAGTTTTTTGCTCCTTCTGAGGTGAAAGGCATCTTGACTTCTATAGGTATTATTCCTCGAATCTGAAAATCTCGCCAGAATCGTAGAAGTGATTTATGAAATGGTTCACATATTTCTGTTTCTTTTTTGAAATAAAATAGTTGATCAATATAATCTTGAGCAATATTCAAATCAGATTCCTTTTCAAAATTATCATCTGGTATTGCAACAGGAAGTTGAGAATTAAAGGAATCCAATAAGTGTGCAACATCTTCTCGAAATGTCTCCATTTTCCCAATAAAGTCGTACTTAATATTACAGGGAAAGCAATGCTCAGACATTGGATAAAAATGTCGGTCACGGTCTCTCAATGTTCTTTGGGAGATAATCAGGTATTTCATGAATTCTGGAAACGTGACATCATGTCCACAACTCAGTGAAGAATCACTTGCATTTATTCCCCTTACGGTTCTCACAATATGGCGTCCAGTTATCTTCCAGTATAATGGATTAGGGGCAAAGAGTTTGTCTACATATCCTGAAAGGGCTCTGCCATATGGCTCACGAACAAACATGATTTTTGGCAATTTTGAAAGACACTCCTTAAATTCCCAGGTTCGATTCTGAAGCATATTTTCACCTTGCAAAACTTGATATTCCAGTCCGGCAAATAATGTTTTTAATGTTTTTCGTAAAAAGGTAGATCCCACTTTCTGAATTCGGCAATACAAGAATCCCATATTATCATATAATTGTATATTATTATTTAATCTTTCAAGGAATGACTGGGAAGTGTAATTTTTGTGAAAGCGATTGCAGTCATTTCTAAGTTTGTCTTGTCGTTCCTTCTGAACATAATCATAACTTCTTGAGGTTTGAAAAATCTGAAAGGTCAATAAAGTGTTATTATGAACATAAGAAACAGATTGTGAAAAAGCAAAAGGCTCCGGAGTTTCGAAATGTCTCTAAATATGTTACAAAGTGTATACTTTGTAAACTTTGTATATTTAGTTCATTAACATGCTCATTTTTGATTTCTGAAATGCTTTAAATGAAATTGCATAAATCTTTACACTTGTTTAAAATTATTTCGTTATTATGAATAGAGCTAGCGCTGTGCTCAAGAAGGACACAGAAGAACTCCCTAAAAAGTTAAGAAAAGAGCAAAAAAAGGCGGAAGGATTTATAGTAAATAATGATCAAAATAAATCAAGAATTTAAAAGTCTTGATAAAAGGGTCAAACAATAACTTAAGGGAGATGGCTAAAATAGGCGACCTGCTGTCCATGCGATCCCCTTTACTTTTGTTAATTAAAATAGTGTTTAGATAAATTACTATAGTAATTTTAATTATTAAGGGCAATCAGAAGTTAGAAGGTTATTCCCTATTCCCTATTGACTATTCGAATGGCGAACCGCATGCTGCGACTGGTTCCCTACGCAAATTACCGTAAGTGTCCCAATGATTTTTTTAAAAACCTGAATAACTCATTATAATACATGTTAAAGAAGCAAATCAAAGACATCACTTAAAAAAGAAGAGTGAGGACCCCAAACCAATGTAGCTAGCCTGACCAAATGATGACAATGGATAGTAAAGGTAAACCTTCAACCAGGAGCTAATTAACACCCTGGATCCCATATTTAGACCTTCATCTTTTTACAGAGGAGGGGTCTGGGAGTGACCCCTTGATAATCAAAAGGAATTGAGTTTATAAGACCGGGAACTTATTTAGTTAGCCAGGTCAAAATTGGAAAAATCCCGTATATGACTGTTATAAGAGTACATAGTTCGAGGGGCTGGTTAAAACCATGGATCCCTTATTTAGACTTTCATCTTTTTATAGAGGAGGGGTCTGGGAATGATACCTCGACCATCAAAAGGAATTGAGTTTACAAGACCGGGAACCTATTTAGCTAGCCCGGTCAAAATTAGAAAAATCCCGTATATGACTATTATAAGAGTACATAGTTCGAGGGGCTGGTTAACACCCTGGATCCGTTATTTAGACCTTTATCTTTTTACAGAGGAAGGGTCTGGAAGTGACCATAAGACCGATAACCGATTTAGCTAGCCCGGTCAAAATTGGGAAAACCCGTATAATACTATACTAAGAGTATATAGTTCTAGGGACTGGCTAACATCCTGGATCCCATATTTAGACCTTCATCGTTTTACAGGGGAGGAGTGTGTGCGGGACCCCTTGACTGTCATAAAAGAATTGAGTTCAAACGACCGGGAAGCTGTATAGCTTGCCCGGTTAAAATTAGGAAGAAAGCGTATAATTCTGTTATCAGAGTACATAGTTCTATGTTCTGGATAACATTCACAATCCTTTATCGTGTACTTATCTTGTATCTTTATAACATTACATTTACTGACAAGAAAGGTCACCTAATGTTGCATATAAATACGGAAATAAGAGGGTACCTTATGTGGTTCATCAATCCAGTGGCAAGAGGACACCTAACGTTGTATATTAATACGGAAATTTAGCCCCCCCCCCCCCCGTTTTATAGCACATTCCTTAAGCAAGAGGCCCATGGACCTTATAGGTCACCTGAGTATCATGTATCAACTTTCAAACAATTGAATTTGGTTCTTGTTTTAAACCAAAGGCCATGAAGTTCACAGTTTTGAAAGAGGCACCATTGCTCATCATAACTATACACTTAGCATGCTTAGTTTGATTGCTTAATACCCAGATGCAGAGCAGAGGAACAAAGAGAAAAATGCATTTCTATTATATAATCAGCAGTGCCCCACCCCACAGGAACCCCTGACCCTGGGATCACACATTTCACAATTTTGAAAAAGGCACCCTTGAACATCATAAAAGTTTGATTAATACCAAGGAGCAGATTTCAAAGCATTCATTCATTTTCAGTATATAATCATTAACCCCCCCCCCCGGTACCCTGACCCCTTGAAATTCACAATTCTGGAAGAAGCACCCTTGATCATCATAACTATTTACTTAGATCATCGGCATACATCGACATAATACCCAGGAGCATAGAATTTTCAAAGAATTCATTAAGGATTTTCACTATATAAACAATAGAGCCCCACCCTTACACCAGAACCCCTGACCCAGAGGCCATGAAATTCACAATTTTGAAAGAGGCACCCTTCCTCATCATAACTCTGTACATAGTTCATTGTTTTAATACCCAGGACCAGAGGAAAAGATTTTCAAAGAATTAATGCATTTTCACTATGTAATCAATAGAGCCCCGCCGTTACACCAGAATCCCAGACCCTGGGGCCATGAAAATCACAATTTTGGAAGAGGCATTCTTGCTTATCATAACCAAGCACTTAGTTTTTTTTTTTTTCAATAATACCCAGGAGTAGAGAAGAAGATTTTCAAATAATTAATGCGTTTTCACTATGTAATCAATAGAGCCCCGCCCTAACACCAACACCCCTTACCCAGGGGCCACGGAATTCACAATTTTTGGAAGAGTCACCTTTGCTCATCATAAATATGCATTTGGTTTGTTTGCTTGATACCCAGGAGCAGAGGAGATTTTAAAAGCATTTTCACTATATATTTATATTCAACATAGCCCACCCTAGCACCAGACCTCCTAACCGGGGGCCATGATTTCACAATTTAGGTAGAGGGTCCAATGCTTATTACAATCATGCTAACAGTTTGACTGCTTGATGTCCAATAGTAAAGAAGATTTTTAAAGATTACATTAATGTTGATGGTTATATATATATATATATATATATATATATATATATATATATATGACATCATGTCGACTTGTCAGATATTTATATTGACTAGTCAGATATTTATGACAACTTGTCAGATAATTATGTCGACTTGTCAGATAAAAATCGTCACGACCAGGAACTCGGTATCTTGTTATTACAGCTTGTTAAAGCCACTAACTGACATCTACTTGTCATCATACTTTCTGACAAGTCTAAATAATATCTGATAAGTCTACATAAATTTCTGACAAGTCTACATCATAATCTGACAAGTCGACTGAATTTTCTGACAGGTCGGCTTGTCAGATGTTATGTCGACTTGTCAGATAATGATGTTGACTTTTAGAATATTATGTCGACTTGTCAGAAAATTATATTGACTTGTCAATAATATATCCACTTGTCATATCTTTATATTGACTTGTCAGATCTTCATGTTGACTTGTCAGAGACTTATGTCGACTTGTCAGAAAAATATGTTGTCAGCTGATAGCCTAATCTGGGCATGGACACATTTTTTATGTTGAATTTTTGAACTCGTGAAAAAGTGACAAGTACACAAAAAAATCTGACAAGTCGACATAATTATCTGACAAGACAACAATAACATCTGACAAGTCGACAATTGTACACCATTGTATGGTGAACAATATTCCATTGTACATCATACAATGGAATACAGAATTACGAATCGGTTAACCGTTGGACTCCCGACCGATTAATCGGTTAATCGTATCAAAAATTCTATTTTATCATGTAGACTTTATTGAAATAAACAAGAAGACTAAAAAGGTGTTAGTATATATTTTATTTCAATTTTAACAGACAAAAAAGGAAAACAATGAAACATACTTAAAAAATCAGATACATTGAAAAACAAGATGTGCTTGTGAAACACTGATGCCCCCGTATGGCAGCTTATGGCGAAAGTTAAAGTTTCTCAAATGCAAGTCAAAATCCAGGCCAAAAGATAAAAAATGTTGGTACCCAAAGAAAGGTCTTGTCTCGAGGAATATACCTGTGAAATTTGAAAGACCTAGCTGCAACTGTTCAAAAGTTATGACGAAGGTTAAAGCTTTTAAAAGTAAGTAAAATGTCAAGGTCAAGGTCAAATCCAAAGGAAAATCTTGTCACAACGATTACATATGTGAATTATGAAAGCCCTAGCACCAACCATTCAAAAGTTATGAACAAGGTTAAAGTTTTGCAAAAGTAGGTCAAACTCCTATGTCAAGGTCAAAGTGGTTGGTATCCAAAGGAAGGTCTTGTGACAAGGATTACATATGTGAAGTATGAAAGCCCTAGCACCAACCATTCAAAAGTTATGGCCAAGGTTAAAGTTTTTCAAAAGTAGGTCAAACTCCTATGTCAAGGTCAAAGGGTCAAAGTAGTTGGTATCAAAAGGAAGGTGATGTCACAAGGATTAAATATGTGAAGTATGAAAGCCCTAGCATCAACCATTCAAAAGTTATGGCGAAGGTTAAAGTTTTTCAAAAGTAGGTCAAACTCCTCGGTCAAGGTCAAAAGGTCAAAGTGGTTGGTATTCAAAAAAGGTCTTGTCACAAGGATTCATATGTGAAGTATGAAAGCCCTAGCTTCAACCATACAAAAGTTATGGCCAAGGTTAAAGTTTTTCAAAAGTAGGTCAAACTCCAAGGCCAAGGATAAAAAGTCAAAGTTGTTAGTATCCAAAGGAAGGTCTTGTCACAAGGAATACACATGTGAAATTTGAAACCCCAAGCACCAACGGTTAAAGTTATGGCCAAGGTTAAAGTTTTTCAAAAGTATGTCAAACTTCAAGGTCAAGGTCAAAAGGTCAAAGTTGTTGGTATCCAAAGGAAGGCCTTTTCACAAAGAGTACACATGTGAAGTTTGAAACCGCGAGCACCAACTGTTCAGAATTTATGGCCAAGGTTAAAGTCTCATTAAATTTTGCAAAAGTGGGTCAAACTCCAAGATCAAGGTCAAAAGATCAAATATGATGGTACCAAAAGAAAATTCTTGTCACTAGGAATACACATGTGAAATATGAAAGTCATAGCTCCAACCAATCAAAAGTTATGGGCAAGGTTAAAGTTGACAACAGACAAACAGACAGCTAAACGGACATAGAAACAGACAGACAGGACAAAAACAATATACCCCCGGGAT